CCTTGTCCTTGTCTTTGCCCATTTTAAAGTCTTCCATAGTTTTCAGTTGACCCCGGGATAAAAATCAAATGCTCAAAACAAAAACAACCCCCTCAAAAACAAAAAACAAATAAACAAAAAAACACCCAAAATAACCTCTGTAGCCCTCCCCCCATGTACTCTACTTGGCCACTTGAAGATCCATGAGCTGTTACATCAGCCTGAGAAAAGAGGGCCATGTTTTGAGGACAGAATTCAAGATGCCACGAGGAGAAACAGTGTTTAATATTTAATTCCAGCTTCCTTGATTAGAACAGAATTTATCCTATAATAACAAGGAATAACACAACCAAAGTTTCAGATTAGCTAAATTTTAGACTTTTTCTGCCTACCCAAAAAGGAGACTTTAAGAGAAGAGGGAAAAGGGAGGAAAGACTAAGATAATTGTGACCAGTAGTGGTGAGGATTTTCCTGGGCTAACTAAGCCCAGAACAGTTTGATCATCACTCTTGCTGGGACTGGACCTATGGGGAAGGGGCAGAGAAATAAAAGATAGACTTTCACAGGAGGCAGGCAGGACTTCATAAACATTTCCAAGTCATTCCTGTTGCCCCACCCTTCTAAGGATGAAAAATGGTTTTGTAGAGTTTTACAACACTAGAAGAATGAGCCTAAAGAATCTTATCGCCTTCTCCGTATTCCTGCTTACCCAAAAACCCATCAGTTCACTCTGACATTATCTCAGAGTGAAGAAGAAGCTGTAGTTTTAATTATTCCACCAAACAACTACACAGAGCAAAATCAAAGAGCACAGAGCTGCCTCAACAGTTTTGTGGGCTGATTCCAGGAATAGAACTTCAGCTGTATTACTTCTATGTTTTATACCCACAAAAAGGAGAACTGAACAACATCACATGGTATTCAGCCAGGGAAAGAAAGTGTTCCAGGCAAATGCTCCACTTCAGGTTACTGCTCATTATTTCATCCTCTATGCCTAGTACAGTGCCTGACACTCTAAATATTTCCAAGGAAAATTAGAAGGGTCACTCTAGTTGCACTTAGAAAGTGAATAGGAGGCAGGAAAGTACTCCAAAAGAGAGATATTGCTAACCTAAAAAAAAAAGAAAGTTTTCAAAGTGTGGTCCCTGGATCAGCAGCATCAGCACTACCTGGGAATGTGTTAAAAATGCAGATTCTCAGGCCCCACCCCAAACTGAATCATAAACTCTGGGGATGGAGCCCAGCAATCTGTGCTTTAAGTAATCTTCCATGTGAGTCTGATGATTGTTCAAGTTTGAGAACCATTGCTGTAAGTCAAAGGAGATAGAAAAAGGTGGTTAGCAGAAATCAATCTGAAGCAAATTCAGGCAAAATTAGGGTCTGACATGTATTAGCTGTGAGATTCTCTGCCCCAGTTTACTTCTTGGTACTAGGATTTAGTGTACCTACCTCACTTGGTTGCTGTATGGATTAAACTCAGACAATCCATAAATAAAGTTGTTAGGTAGATGTCTAGATCACAATATGTTCTTAATATAATTAGCATTAAACTTACTTTAAAGTTGAAAAACAACTCTTAGACCAACAAGAAGAGACTATAAGCTAGTCCATGTATTAACTCGCCCAAAGAAAAAATCTTCCCTTCTGGAGAGGGGTTGGTCATCATGGTAGTCTAGAAAACCGGTCATAACACAAGACGTTGGCCAGTCACTGCCCACAAAAGGAAGGAGCTTTCACCAAGTGATTTGGGGGAAATTCCAGGCCCATTGATGAGTTCCTCTTGGGATAAAGATAGACTCATGGGGTTGTAACCAACAATTTTGGAGTTGTCTAGTTCCACTGATGAAATTATTCCTAGCATGACTTAGACTCTTGCCACCAAACATTTGAAACGTATACTTCCATTGTTCTGATTCTATGTTCATCAAGCAACTCACTCATTCTTATTCGACATTAAATTTTGCCTTCAGAGAAAGTACTTGTCATAGAGACCTAAGTGTTCTGGTATGCTG